ACATAGAAATCAGTCTTTCTAACAAATAAAAAATGTATATAAATTATTTTGTGCAATACAAAAGACACATTTGGTATATTTTTTAAAATATAAAATTATAGTACATACATAATGTGTTTGCACTGAAAAGTTATGGAGGTTAAATATTTACAGTATATGATTATATCTGACTTGACAAAAAAGTTTTTTATTAAATATATTAAAAACACTAAAATGAAAAATATAAACTACAGAAAAGCTGTTCAAAAGCAAACTCTTCCATTCAAATCCCTTTGGTCCAAATGGTTCAGGTTAATTTTTTTGTATAATGCATCATTAGAGAATACTAAACTGTGTACTTTGACTAAAACCATGGACACAGTGTATAGTGTTATGACTATACAGTATCATGTACCTGTGTGTGGTGGGTGGTGAGAGTTATCGTGCATTATCGTTATCGAGGTAAACTGGTCAATATACGTATTGTGATATTGATGTTAGGCCATACCGCCCAGCCCTACACATAAGTCATGTTTTAGAGTGTCTCACTTGGACAGTCTCTGAAATAATGCCAAGGAGCAAATGTGACCCAGACGCTTTGGGGCAAGTGTGGTGAAATCATCCTGACGCCAAAGTCTGAGATGGCTGTAATTAAAAAAAAGAAAGAAAGAAAAAAAAAAAACAACAACTTTTCACCCAGACAATATGGGAGCAATGCTTGACAACTGATAGCTCGGATATATTGGAGCAGAGGTCTGTGTGTACTGTGTGTGGCCCTAGCACAATATACCTGTATCTGCAAATGAGAAAATGCACCCAGAGAAAAACTTTATGATTAAATGTTCTCAATCCAGCTCCACGCCTTTATAACCGTCAAAGTGTTTTGCCTGAAAACACCTATACCTTAAGGGACTTCTCTCTTGCTTGTATTTACARGACAGAAAGGAAAGATAATGTGACATAATCAACAGCCACTGGAAGAAGAGTGAAAGGTCATTCAAAATGTCTCTGTTTCAGATTGAATTAACAGTGACCACACTTTCTTGCTGGTTCGTTTCTGTCAGTTGTTTTTTTCCAACTTTAGGAATTACTGATGTGGTCAGCTTTTTAACCAGTATTTAATATATTGCATACAGTCATACAGTTGTGTTGTTTCTAACCAAGAAGCTGTTTGACAGTTTTCTTAACCATGTAAAAGCCCCAACTTTGAAATAGGAGTTAATAACTTTGCAAATTGTGTATTTATCCTTTGCTTCATAAAATCTACACACTGTAGTTTCAGCAGAATGGAGACAGGAAGATGGACGTTTGTCAGTGGAAAAGGTATACTTTGGGTCCTTATTACTCGTAGTGTACATAGATAAAATGTTTAAGAGTTTAATTAACCAGTACGGCCCTTCAATTAGGGCTGGGCGAAATGGCGCAAAAAAAATCTTTTATTTTCTTTCATCCCAAATTCGATTTTTGATTTTAATCGATTTTGCTTCCCACTTAATGGAGTGCCTCTGTTTCAGGTGTCGAAACAAATTTGTTGCACTCCTGCTTTTTGTAGCAAGAGCCTTAAAACAGATTTTGCAGTGAGATATTCGTTGTTCCAAGTCCGAGGTTGGGAAACCTAACCAATTCCAGAAAACTGAAGAAACAGTGCCTTTTTTGAGAAGTAGATCCTCTTTGCTAGTTGCCATATTGTCATGTCATGTACCAAGCATCTTGAGGGACAAGTGGGGTGACCTCTGAACTACAGAAGCCCCAAAGCGTGCACTAGTGAGAAAAAAAATCTRGATTTTCCCAAAATTAATTCTTTATAAATGGCAAATTCGAATTAATCGATTAAATCGATTTATCGCCCAGCCCTACCTTCACTACTTAAACACTTCCATAAGATTAGTACTATATCATTATTAAACATCAATATGATAACAGATAAATAATACCATTAGACAAAACATTTTTTAAATGCAAGCAGAGAAAAACTGAAACAGTTTGAGTTCTTCTCATCCACCTGACACCGCCTCTATTGATTCAACACATCTAATATATTCCACTTCTGATTTCTTTTTTAGCATGCCCACACTCTGTCACTCCAGCAACCCACAAAGGATGCAAGGCACCAGTGGACCTGTCAAGCATTCCCATCAATAACCTTAACCAATCCTACGTGAACACGTTTGCTGTATATGTGTTTATGCTGCAAGTGTGTTTGATGATGAACTGTTTACTGTGTTTATGAAGCGACATACATGCCATACCAACTCCATCCTGCGACAGCTCCATGTCACAAGACTGAAAACATTAACATGCTGAGTCTGCGGCAAGGCGCCAGTCACCAGGGAAATAACTCAGCCAGACACAGACACACACACACAATTTGAGTCAGCCAAAACACATCGTGTGAAAGGCGAAAGCAAAATAAGTCATCTAAAACACCACAGTCGTAAACACAAAATTTTGTTTTTATGCATTTTGTACCGGGGTAGTTTAATTAAACTCCTTTCATTTTATTTGACAAAGATGGTTAAAACAACCGCCGTGAAATACAACCACCTTAAATTGTGAACTATTACAAAACACAACTACGGAAAAGTAAACCTTTTCTGCTCCTGGAAACAGATGCTGACAGATACTCACACTCTGAAATTAAAAAAGACACAGGCAGGGGCAAAACTGCAAACATTGTTTACATTTTTTTTTTGGTGTGACCTTAACTTGAATAAACATTGGCGATATATAAAGTACAAACCTTGCAGACAAATAAATTATACATAATAACCTCCCTAACTCATTTTCTATGTCCTTAAAGTCAACAGTTAAAGTAACAGGCCATCGCAGCAGATCTATTTTTTATATCCCAACGTAGAAATATACGTAAACCAGCTCAAAAGCCAAACTATCTGAAGCATGTTATTCAAAGCCCTGATGTGATATCATGTGTAAGATTCAGCTTACCTTTCTGGCAATGATTGGAGTTCCAGCAGCGGTAGTTGTAGTTGTTGTTGAACATGGTCTTTCTGCACAAAGGGTTGTTCTCAATGATGCCTGGACAAACGTCACTGCACTCTTTGGACTGCTTGTTTCCAGCAATGTAATTGTTGAACTCCGCGTCCATGATGAGGGACCAGTCTATTGAGTCCAGGTAGCAGAGTTCCGGATTCTTCTCAATGCGGATGGCACCACGGGTGATGTTTCTCAGGTTGTACAGGCCAATGTCCTTCAGACTGGTCATTTCAAAGATCACCAGTGCGTAGTTATAAAAGAGGTTTCGTCCGCGGATGACCGAAAGGTTGGGGAAGAGCATACTCAGACTGTCCAGACCAGAAACCCTGAATAACAGCAGGTAGTCTGTAATCATGGTCAGCTTGGGAAAGCTGAGGGTGCGGAAGACTTCTTGGTTGGCGTTATTGTTTTTGTCATTGATGAGTAGTATCTGCAGGTAGCCCTCCACCACAGTGCAATTCTCAAGTTGCCTGAAATTACTGATGTCATTGCCAATGTCGATGCTGAGAGTACAAACTGCAAGAGAGGGGAAAACAAAACAGATGGTGAGTGATCGTTGTCATCCATTAACTTAACAAGTAAAAGTTATTTTCTCAGTTAGGTACAAGTTTTATCTACAATGTAGTCCTCTACACCAGATATTCTTAACCTTTGGGCCGTGATTGTGAAATAGGTTTTTCTTCTAGGAGSCTTGAGTGCCACAGTATGTCACTGGCTTTCAGTTGACTGAGTTGCAATACACTTTCTCACCACTAGTAGTGTAGTACACCATTCAGATGTTTACCCACTTTTTTAATACACAGAAGAACCGTAAATTACTGATAGCAAAAGTTAAAGACATGTAAAAATATTTTAAATGAAAAGTTGAAGACAGAATGTAAAGATTGATCTCTCTCTCTCTCTCTCTCTCTCTCTCTCTCTCTCTCTCTCTCTCTCTCTCTCTCTCTCTCTCT